GAAGCATACCTATTTTAATTACGGCTACGGCTAACATCAGATGTAACCAGTAACCTTCAATTCAATGGAATTGGCCGTTCAAATATCCCTGTAACATTTTGACTGTCATGTAGGTCACCGGTGCCCTACGCGGCGCACTGAAGTAATTATGTTGACTTCGGTTACAAAGGCGCCGGAATATCTAGTACACTAAGAGACCTAAAATACTAAAACATACATTAACAAACTAAAATCAACGTTAGTCAATCCAGGCGCTTATTAACAGAAATCAACGTAATAACTTCAGTGATCCACGTAGGGCATCGTCGACCCACATGGCAGTCAAAGGGTTAATTACCTATTTATATTCCAATCATAATTAAAGAAAGCGATTTTTTAAACTTACATTGCCTATATGAGTCGACTTTGATAATCAAAGCCGGCAATGTGACTTTTGGACAATTATTGGTAAATCAGAAAAACGAATTATTGACTTTGTATTCCATTGGCAGTCACAAAATTCTTCTGAACGACATCTTAGATAAATAACAGGTTAAGTATTAACCTTTATTTAATGCAGGTTTTGAACCGTATTCTTTGAAGGAGACGATTATATTCAAATCAATCTGTATTGACATATCAATAACATTTTTTTGTTCAAATGCACAGATTGCCACCTTTGATAATAGACGACTCATATATCCCATTGGTCAAGGTGCTACGAATGGGATTAATACATACATCTAATTCGGAAGAAATTTGTTGTAACTAAATAAGAACGCTTTTTGCGCATTCGGTTGTAACACTTGTTATTTAGTACTTTTTTTTTGTAAGAGTATAGCTATGTAATCGATTAGTGGCATCTTAACAAATACCTAAAAAATTTGTGAATACACTAATCTTTTGTTTTTTTTTTCAACAGGAGAGGAACACCCAGGTCAAAAACAACGAAAAGGATTTTTCAGAAGTCTCTGGAAGAAATCGCGCCATTATTCATTGGAACACCCGTGAAAAATTGACCAAATTACGATAATTTTACTATTAAGTCGTTAGGAAGCTTTAGTATTTCAACACATCTAGTACGATGGCGAATTATAAATCATTGGGTATTTATGAAAGGGTAAAATGATTTTCTCATTAACAGAACATGAATTTGAATTGCTTGCAATATCATTATCATCTTTCTAAAGTAAGTTACGTAAAAATTGCAATATAATATTTGATTAACACGTGTATATTGGTTTTTGAATGGTTATTCGACATAATTTATTTGTAAGAATTAACTCGTGTTTGTATTTAATTCAATAATTTCTTATAGAAGTGTAGAAATGTAGATAACCAAGTAGAATAAAAATATGGCATTCATTTTAGCCTGTTTGCTAATTTCGAGTAAAGTTTTGATTTTATTATTCTATAAGTAACACTGCAGTATAATATTTCAACACAATCAATTAGTTACGATCTTGAAGTGTACTTTATAAAGAACCAAGATCAGCAAGGTATTATTACTACAAATCTAACATTTTATACCAATCGACAATTCCTTGTATTCGAGTGTACTTAACTCTTACTATTGTAGATTTGTCAACATTAAATAAATAATGTTAATTAGAATGTCTGCGTTTTATTACACTAATCTTCATAACAAACCAACAATATTATCAATTGAAAGTGCACGTAGCAGGACATAGTTTTGACAACTAAAGGCATTCAGATGTTTTATTCATGATGCAGATGTCATTTAAGTAAATAATTATACATTATCTTCTATACACGCGAGCAAAAGTTTGGAATCACTTACTTGAAATTGGTTCCGCGCGATCTTGCTTACTAAATAAATTTTTAATTAGGGTAAAACACCCAGTAGTCAGCCTTTTAGTGGGATTCTTAACTTGATTCACCTGTATTTTTAAAAATAAAAGACTTTAAACGAAAAAAAATTTTTTTACAGAAAGTTTGATTATTATTTTTACTAAAGAGATACAATTTTTTTTTAAATTTTCTTAGAATTATATAAAAAATCAATATCAAACAAAATATGGCACTTTTTACCGGTAGTCAGCCTCATTGCTCCACAAGTCAGCCATGTCTTACCCTATAGTCAGCCTTTTACTTATTATTGCACGTTGGACATACAAATTCTTTATTATAGACATTTTCATAGTCTTCACCTGCAAATATAGTACATTTTAAATGCAGGACAATTGTCACAACCAATATTTTTTAAGTCGTTTATATCTGTGTCATTAGTCAATTCCTCTTCATACGAATCGCATCTTATTCTGTTTACTGTGCATGTCGTACTTTTCTTCTTACTTATACTTTTTTGGACATCAAAACTTTTGAGCTTTCCTTTTTTGTAATTATTCTTCCTTCTTTTGTCTTTCTTCTTCAGTCTTTTTTTAGCTTTCATTCTTTTCTGCTTTTTAGCCAATATTTCGTCTATTCATGAACATGCTTCGACGCAGTTTATATCTTCTTGCGTGAATTCAGATGCTCCTGTTTCCTGGACTTCATGACTTTGTTGCAAGTCTTCAAAGTCTGTTATGAATTCGAAGTCATTTAAGGGTACTTCACTTTCGGTTAAATTAATGAAATTATTGTCTAATGTGCAATTCCCTATAATTGGCAAACTAACATGAAGAATTTCAACTGATTCTGACGCTATTTTTAGAATTAATAGAACTTGAGGTATCGATTTGGACGGCCTGGCTAATTGAATTTACTTTAGAATTTAGGCTTTCAGTACCGACCATATTCTTTGCTCTGTTTAAAACATCGATGGCGATTTTGATTCTCTTAACTCCGGATTTCGTTTAAGAAATGAGTTCCATTTCTTCCCTGGCCTATTATTTACAAATGGGTTAGGTCTGTTTTCTTGGGAAATAATATTATGGACAGTATAAAGGATCATCACATTTAAAGGGAAGCCACATTCTGCCAAAGCAATGCACCAGTCTTTCAAGACAGTTTCTTCGTCTTTGGTAAGTACTAAGTCTGATCCCATTTTACGAGGTGCTTCTGGGACTCTTAAATGCAGGCGATCTTGTAGAGTCCCTCATGGTACGCTAAAAACTCGACTAGTTTCTCTAATCTTCATCCCATTCTGATCGCGGCCATAGCCTATGACAACTGCTCTTCTTTGTACTGGTGGATTGGTCGTTTCGACATTATGAAACTCTAGAATATAAGATTTTAACTTGATCCTTATTAACATGCATTAAAGTTCAATATTACACAATAGAACTAACGGCCGACTATAGGAGTTAATAGTCCATTAGTCAGCCCTCAGCATATATTTTACTTTTATACACGGCTGACTACTGGTAAAATAATATTTTGGTCATCTAAGAGTTATATTCAATCCAAAGCAAATAACAAGGACTATTCTCTGTGTTAATTTCGACGAATTCTAAGAAAATCGTAAAAAACCAGTAGTCAGCCCCTTGCTGCTGACTTCTGGATCAACCTTAACAAATCGTAACCCAGNGTCAGCCCTCAGCATATATTTTACTTTTATACACGGCTGACTACTGGTAAAATAATATTTTGGTCATCTAAGAGTTATATTCAATCCAAAGCAAATAACAAGGACTATTCTCTGTGTTAATTTCGACGAATTCTAAGAAAATCGTAAAAAACCAGTAGTCAGCCCCTTGCTGCTGACTTCTGGATCAACCTTAACAAATTGTAACCCAGAAGTCGGCCCCCTAAATTGAAACGAAATAAACATATAAAATGCCTCTAATGCTTAATGTTATCGTAGAAAAAACATTATACAACAACATAACATAAAAATCTACCAGCAATTACAAGAAATTCATAGAAAAACTTACCAAAACCTCGAACACGTTTCCTTACGAAAAAAATAGCAAAAGTAACACATCCTGTCCTTTCGTTGGCGGCAGTGGAAATGAACGAGTACAGAGGATCAACCTGTCACGCTAACGGTTCTTAGATGTGCACAGTAACCAACAAGAGAACATAGATTTGATTAAACGTTATTTCAATGGTGTAAGTCCATTTCAACACTATTTATACCAAAATAAAACCTATAAAGGCTGAGTACTGGTGCAGGGCTGACTTCTGGGGGTTTTACCCTATTATAAAAATCACATCACACAATTTTAAAGGTTGAACTCTTAACTTTAAACTGATACCAAATTCATTAAAATCAAGCCAGTATTTAAGAAGCTATCTTGGATTAAGTGAAGGAATAACGAAAAAGACGTGTTTTAATTATTTGATACGTCGCGAGTTGCGGCCTATTGACCCCTATAAAAGCACCTGTTATCGGATTTACTTTATCAGTCGACTTTCACACGTTGACCGGTACATATCTCCGCTACTTTTGACCCTTTACCTTGTACGACAATTGGGACAACACCTACAGAAGTAGCACAAATCGTAGCCCTATTTGATTATGATTATCAAAAAAATATTTAGTACACAAGATCGCACGGAACCAATTTTAAGTAAGTGATTCCAAACTTTTGCTCGCGAGTGTAGTATTTACTGGTTTTTTTCTTCTATTCGTTTTCATTTCGGTGGGAAGCAGACCCACCAAAGCCTATAGATATCGCATGGTACATTCTTTCCCCCACCTCATTACAGGAGGTTGAAATTTCATATTATTATGGATCTACTGGGCTTGAAAGAGAACGCATGAATAAACCTTTTATAGCACCCATGTGGGTTACGTATATCCAGTAACCAATCAACTTTATAGAATTCAAATATTGATTCATTAAAGTATTGTCACTGCTTGTTCCCTCTGTTCGATGAAGGTCGACAGTACTTTTCAAATTATCAACCATTGTTTGCGGATAGCAATCACAATAGTCCGCACGTTACTTAGGTACGAATTGAACTCTGAATCGAAATGAAAATAATAAACTTCGATTATTATACCCTTTTTAAGACAAGAAGTACATGTTTTGTCAATTGAAACCTGGTTTACGACATGAAAATATTGTAAACGACTTTTAATTAAGAATGTAGTTATAAATCAAACAACAAGATATAATACAAATCATTTTATTATCAGATAGACACAGTTCCCATCGCTTATCAGAAACAATGTACAAAGCTATAGTAGTAATATCAAATATAAACAATATGCACCCTTCGATTTCTGCAAGCCTTTTCTGAGGTTATAGGGTAATTAATTGAGCGCTTCTATTGTCTGCAGCTAAGAAGACAGTTTTAAACAGAATGCAAAATGTTTATGTTCTACTACATAATATGATTATAAAATGCGGCAAAAATAAAAACAAAGCATAGCAGATTTTTGAAATAGCAAAAGGTTATTACGGCGCGAGTCCTGCGCTGCCGCCGCTTGTGCTTGGATGTAAATTCACACGATGGTTCCAGTGGGACTAGAGATTTTTAATTAAAATTGTAATACTTGGGTTTCAGTGCCTTTAAATTTGTAACAAGCCCTTAGATGTATGCTTATTTATAATTATATATATATATATAATGTTGTAAAATGTTGTTACAGTAATTTCATTACGTGGTTATTACAAATTCTTTTCAAGCATCAGTACAAGAAACAATCATGAAGCTATACCGTTTTTGTGCTATGTCCAACTGAACAACAGCTTAGCAGTCCGTGAAGTTACTTACGTACAATGATGCTTGATAAGAAGCCTAAAAATCTCTATACTTCATGCTTTGTTTGAGATCAGCTATGCAAAGCTAAAAATGCTTCACTATGACTGGTCAATAAAAGCAAAATTTTAATACAAATTTAATTCATTATGCAGTAATAATTATTTTGAGGAGACGGTGAGCGTATAAAAAGGGTCCAGAATCCACAAAATAATCACATGTGCACACTAAACTCATCACACTGATTACGCCGCCATAATTTATCGAATATCAAAACAAATGAACGGTCCTCTTATCACTTTATAGAATATACAAAATGCAGTTACTTATTTCCCCGTGGAAAAAATATTATCTTATAGTACTCTTAGATCACGGCGAGCTTCGACCTGAAAACAATAATTACTTTAAGTATAAATAAATAAACAATGCATTCAAAATACACTCTTTTGTAAGGAACTTTAAACCACTGAAAGAATAAAGTGTATAACTAAGTAACTAATGTTATATATAATTAATTAGAATTCAATAATCGCACCTCTAATAACCACAGGTAATTAAATATTCTCCTAACTTCTCCACGACAGATGCGGCCTGCTGAGGTTGGATGGGTTCTTCATAGAGAGAAATGACCACAGCTGAAACAAAATGATCCATGTAATACATTTATTTTTCAATTTTATTACTATGATGTTGGCACTGGACAAACTTAACAGTGAAATCAATAACAATACCAACTTCACTTTAGTTTAGTTTGTGGAGGCTGTTATGCTGTAGATGGCATTACCAACTTAAATCAAACAACTATTGGTTTTAAAAATACGAATGTTTAGCGAAAATGCCAAATGTTTAAGCTCAGGCACGGTGTATGCTTGTTACTATATGATACGATTACAATATTACTCATTATTTTGCCTTCTAATTTTTTTTTTAAACAAGGTAATAAAAATTTAATTATATTTAAAGAATGGCTCTTTGAATAAATTTCAACTGTGTTACCAATATTTGCCTCTTTTGTTTGACAAGGTTATCGACCACTACCCCAGCAATTTCTTTTGGGCAAATGTAAAATTAAAAAGTTTTTTTGCTTTCATAAAATTTTACAAATACCACAAAATGCATCATAGTCATATATATCTATGAATGTTCTGTCACTGTAGGACTATAGAATACTCAGTAGGTGAATCCATGTTTCTTTCTTTTTCTTAAAAAAGATTTTCTTAATTTCGAATTCTACTAATTACCTTGCTGTGTCTTCATGCAATGCACGCCGACCTTGCCAAGCTTCGCGCGGATGATATGGTCTGTGCCACTGAGGTAGATGTACCGCGTGCCCGCTATCGTCACGCCGCCACTCGTTAGCAGTGATTCATTCTCAAAGCCAGCCACAATCTTCGCCACTTCATCTTTTGAAATCTAACGAAAAAAAGTTATCTTAGTTTAATGCAGCATTTTTAAATCATCAAAGTGATTTAACTCTATACTTTGTACCGAACAGTAAATGTTTTTTAAGACATTAGAAATTAAATAGTATTAAATTTTAAACAGTGTAAATAAACAGACAAACCCATGGCCTGTCTGATTTTAAGTGGTTACCACTAGCCTATGGCGGCAAGATTCCATAATATTGTTACATTACTAATGTAGCAATATTGTATCAATTGACATGAAGTAATTAATAGCAATTACTTGAATCATAATTGAAATCTGTATAAGTAAACTTTTTAACTCCAATGAAAAAGAAAACTAGTCAAATTTACATTGTCATATTTTTTTTGTACCATTTGTGCTGTACAGTTTTTTGATATTTAGATAATAAAATCGTTTATATATATTGATGATTTCATTTATTACAAAAATTCATGAACCATCTTTTGTAAACTTTGTTACTAAAGACTATCATAAAAAAGATTTAATATCAGATATCCATTAAGTATAGTAACAAATAACTTAAAGAACACTGTAAAGAAAATAAGATTATTGTAAAACGTTCATAGTCTTCAACTTTAATATATTTATTCTGCAATGTCAGATATATAGATACATATCTTTTCTCTCACTAAGTATTATAGCGATGCAATTATTATATATTATTTTTACTAACTCTCCCCATCCTTCAATAATTTAATTAAGACTAAATTCAGAACTACTAAATATTTTTATTTTGACTCGTTATTTGTTGTTGGTCTTATTTACTTTGTATTAGAATTAAGGATTATTTTGCCAATATAATTTCAGCCAATTAATTAGACCAACACTTTTGCACAGTTAAAGTATCGACGCTTAAAAGGCAAAAGTGACTAAGCGACAATAACTGCTTTGTACATAAATGATAGGCAATAACCATATTTGATGCACAAAAAAAATATATTTCTAGGTCTATGAAAATTATTTCAATCCTACAGCTACTAGCTAGATTCTACAACAGCTAGATTCGTTAAAATAAATTTAGTTTTCAGGTATTTCAACTTTAAATTAGTCTACTGTAAAGTTCACACATTGTCGCTTAGTCACGTTTGCCTTTCAAGCGTCAATATGATTCCAGTGGCCAAAATTTGATCTCAATTAACTTGGATGGAATATTATTGAATATACATATTTCAGATTTATCACACCTCTGTCCACAATAATTTATAAATTAAAATAGATTGATTGATTTGTAATCTATCAATCACAAACCAATAAAAAAAACACAAATAGAGGTTTTGTAAACATTCCCTTTAAATAAGAAATAATTTATGAAATTGATAATAAAATGATGATATTATTATATTATTTTGTTTATTTTAATTATACATCACAAATTTTTATTATATTTTTTTTGTTTTCTGATATTTAAATGAAGTCTCCTCTGCACTCTCTGAGTAAAAACAATATTTGGGGAGGTACATCCCAACACCACTATGAAAAATACAGATTTTTTAGTGAAATTCCACAAAAACAAAAAAAGGAAGCAAATTATCCTGAATTCAGTTTCAGTTTTCTCAAAACCTGTTCTCATTGACTTTTTGTACATGACTGGAATAAAAATCTCTAATTCTATACATTTCATAGGAATTTTCATATTTTACCAGTTTATGAGAATTTATTTTCTCCTAGTTATATATTAAATTTTATAGTGATGTTGTTGGAACAAGTTGAATTATCTCTAATCTCTACCAAATCTCCCGTCTTTCAAGCAACCAGGTGCTAGTTGATGTTTTTTGCCTAAATAATTGCTGGTAACCTAAGAGGCTATTCCATCTACACTCAAGAGGAGATTTGATGCATTTTATTCTTAAATATTAAATAAATATCAACAAGGCAATTGATTATTAGTGTAGAGGTCATCTCAGTATAAATAATTATTTAATACTGAAATCAAAATCTCCTTTATGTAATAATGTAAGGATTCAACCCTATTTTACCTGCCTGTGTTCACAAAAGATCCAATATGAAGAAATGTCTAATAGCCTTACAAGATATCCCTGTCATATGGAATCTTACAAAATATCTTGCTTACTAAAGTATCATGTGTTTGAATTTGAAGGTTTTGATGGATATTATTGCTGGATATTGCTATTGGAACTTGCTGATACAGTAGTTAACTTGACTGCAGAGTAGATGTTTTGATTCTCAAAGACAAATATTTCTGACCAAGCCTGGGTATTTAATTTCAATATAGGCATATGTAAATGTATTTCAGTCTGGAAATTGTATTTTAGGGCCTGGTAACCACTTGATGTGTCATTTTTTTTTCGTTATTGTAAAGCAACCAAGAATTGGATCTCGACTGAAGTGGTAGATTGAAATATGATATCTATTAGCATGTTTCAGTACTGCTTAACACCAGTTCTTCTTTGCCTTTGTCAAGATTAAAGTAACTTTTAACTTTTATAAATCAAGATCAAGGGAATAGTCACAATTAATGAATATTAAATGTTATATAAATGGTTACTTTTAAACTACACTTACCTGTGATAAAATGCCTTTTTTTTAATAGCTTTCCAGGATACGTTATTTTATTATTATCTTTACATAATGTGAAGAAATAAATAAATTGCTTTAGCTAAGTTATTGAACTATTAAATAAATGATGACTCATTTTTCCAGCTGCTAAAAATATTAAGTTATAATATATACTTGAGTTCATCTATATAAGAACTTTAAGAACGTTCAATAACATAACTAAATAGTCTTCTTATAAAAAACCTGACCTAGCCTCTTACATCGCAGTAAGAAACCGGCCGGCTTTTTGTCTTGAAGGTTTCTCAATCTTCATAATTAAGAACGATAAGACGGTTATATATTTTATAGAGAATAGGCAAGCATAAAAAAACAACACACCATAAGGTTTTGAAGTGTTCTACCCAAATTCTTACGTGATCTAATGCAATTTTTTGGATTCCACATGTCGCCATCTTGTCAAACTTGTCGAATAGAGAATCTATTAGTCATACTTTCAACGTATTACTCTAGTATCGACAACTGTTCCAAAAAAACAGTACATTGAAAGGTTTTTCTTGATGACTATAAAAATATTGGTTTTATATAAAAAGCAACTTACTTCGAAGCCTTCCGACTTTGCCCACACATTGCCATCATGACCGGCAATGGCAGCTTTTGTGACACATCTAGATGCCATTAACTGTTTGTCGACATAATCTTGCCAGCTCATTTTGATTAAGTTCAATTAAAAATAAAACTACACTTAAACACAAGATACTCCTCACAACGAGCAAACGCTCCACACGAACAAAAAGCACTGCCGTTTCAAAATGGCAGCGGTGCTACTAAGTCAACCGGATGTGAGTTTTGGCCAACATAACAGAAAATCCAGAAAAGCCAATCGATGAAAATAAATTTAACATGACATTCTCGTTCACGACACTAATAACTAATACCATCGACTACGATTTCATGCATGCAATTGATGAAATTTAGTTACCATTTTTGGAGTATTAAACAATTAATTTATCATAAAACTAGTCTTGCATATCAGGGTTACTTAGTTATACTTATAAGCCTTTTTGGGACTTGTTGGTGACCTCTTAATTTTTTTTACATTGTCCAAAACCTTTTTAAAGCCCAGAAATGCTTTAGGTGAGTGACACTGAAATGACCCAAAATATTTAAAGAAAAGTCAAAAAAGCAATATCTCCAACTAATTCATTCAAAAATACGGTGTTAGATGAATGAAATATTCATCATTTTAATCAATTTATTGGTTGGAGTTGAAATCAACACAATTTTGACCGTATCTTTTAATACATTTTTGGACTAATAAATTTCCAGTAACTTGGTTACTAGCTTGCTTCTATGTTGTTGCTATGTTTGAAACTGGGAAAATGTCGACAAGTAAATTGTTGAAATAATCCATAGCAGTGTGTGAGATTTTGTGCTCTGTCATAAATGCCCCCAATTATACCTCAGCTCTTTTGACTTGTCGACTGAATGAATTTTAGTATCGTCAAATACTTTTAAAATTGAAGGCTGTTCACTGATCCCTTTAATTTTATGCTTATGCTTTATACCATAATTGTGTCGTTTAAAAAGACACTCACCTCAGCTGTCGTATTAACAGCACATAAGACGCATATAGCTTTAAGTAGATAAGTCAGGTGCTCACTTAACCAAGATGAAAAGTCCATGTTACTTTACAATTCAGATCGAAATTTCTGTTTATATTTATTTTTTTGTTTTTCTCCGACCCGAGTCTTATTTTTTTGTAGTAGGGGGGCCATTACCATCACTATTACTGTCTATACTAGCCATTTAACAACTCACAAAAGGAAAAATGTTTTTTTGTAATTTTAATGATACGAAACTTTACCTTATAATCGTTACATTGAAAACCAACAGAACAACATTAAAATATATGAATGAATGAATGAATCTTATTATGCTGGCAAAGTAAATAATAGTACATTTCATTTAATTTGATTACATACTTTTCTATTTGGTCAGCTTATGAACGGATGAAACGTGGTGGAATGAGCACGGAGGGCGGGGATTCCCTGATTAGATTATTAGTGCTGTTATATTAATATCAATGTCACCTGATCTAAAAAAAATCTTTTCTTTCCTATTACCCTCTGCTGTGGTGTAGTGCTCAAACCAAATCCTTCCATTTACATCGGTCTTGGGCAGTTTGTTCTAGCTCCTCCCACGTCATGCCCAAGACGCCCAGCTCCTGCTCCACCGAGCAACGCCAAGTTGTTTTGGGACGGCCTCTTTTCCTTTTGCCAGACACTTTCCAGGTCAGTGCTCTCTTGGATGGATGGGTTTTCTTAATATCTCTCCTTATCCATTGGCGTCTGCCTGATGATCCTCCACAGTTTTTTTTTATTGCCCTTGTAAACAGATGAGCATACGGCCCACCTGATGGTGAGTGATTACCGTCGCCCATGGACTTCAGCAATGCCAGGGGCAAAGCACTGCTTACCGTAACCTTACAGCTATTTGTTAGTGATCGTCTCAGCCCAAAAGATTTTCAAAAAATTTAAAAACCATGAAAATCAAAATTTCAATGTCAATCATTGGTAAAATTACAAAATCGTAAATTACGGTAAATTTTTTTACCGTATAATAGGTGGTATGGTAGGTAGTAAATCGAGCAAAATCGAGCAAAATTACGGCATGTCTACCGTAATTACGGTTAAAATTGCTGCTAAATAAAAAAAAATATAAAAAATATAGACATCAACAGTATTTGAACCAAACAATTTGGAAACTATTGGCATGATGTATGTAATCTACAATTCTGAAATGATTTACTAAGACTTTGTACTTTTGTAAAAAACAAACACTATTATTGATCACTAAATAATATTGTTTTTTTTTATTAAAATACTATTTCGAATGAATTTCCCTTTTCTTATATAATTATTTTTATTATTTAGAATTATTTAAGGATAAGCACAGCCATAATTTACCTGAATTATTTTTGAGCTAAAAACGGTCACCTTTTCAAAGCTGATTGGCCATCTTTACCAACGTTGGGAACAAAACCAGTCATTCTCATCAGTGAAAATTAAAGTGTGTCATATTCAGATATCTCAGTTAAATAAATGATTTAATTTACAATAATAAGTATATGTTGATGATCCAAAGGCTTTTTGGATTAATATCTCTCAGGTTAAGCCTCATGAACTCATCTAGCCTTCTGTGCGTAGTTGGAATTGCTCCTTAGATTACTAACGATTAGGTAGAATAAAAAAATATCGATTTTGAATCACCGGTCACCGTTCTCGTCAAGCTCGCCAATTACAACGAAGAGTTCGACGAGTGAACTAATCCATAGACACAGCCCTCTGAATTTGTCGCGGGATTAAAAGAAAGTGGGTTGCAATTCCGATCCGGTGGCGGATTCTGCGAATCACTGCTCTTGTTAGGGCTAGTGTTAGCGAATTCTCTCAGGTTAAGCCCGTGAGCCACCACGAGTCACCTACCCATCCGGACGTAGCTGGAATAACCTATTACGCTACCAGCGAATAGTTAGGGGGAAAAAATCAGTAGTAAACTGCTATGAAGGCAGAAATAGCTTAAAAATCAATACCGTCAATTTTCGTATTCTTAAAAATGCTAAAAGCGAAATTAACGCTTTTGTTTTTAAATAACTGAAATACCCATAGAACCTTTGTAAAACAATCAAATCTTTAAATATCTGGCAAAGGCGTTTTTTAAATACCTTTTGATTAAATATATCTATACCAAAATTACAAGCTAGAATGGCACAAACTTTTTGGTATCTATTGAAAATACTTACAATTGTCTATGACTCACTTCCGGTACTAAAATTCTCAAATAAAAGTATTTAGTCATAGTTTGAAGAATCTACACATTACCGTTTCTTAAATCATTTTAAAAATTAAATAAAAAATTATTAAATTTTTTGTCTACAATATAAATTAGGACAAACAGTGTTCTGTAAAATTTATGTAAAAAGCTCCTGTTAGCTCAACTTGACCTTGCTAGTTCTTTTCCGTTCAGCTACTGCGGTTGAAACATGTCTTATTCGTCTGAAAGAAGGTAAGATTGCTTTCAAAGCTTATTTAATTTGTACCATATGAAAGATAGTGTTCAGGAAAACGCATATTACTTCGTTATTTCGTCTACAATTCATAACTTCAATAGTTTTTGCATAGTTTGGAAATTTTAGATGTGAAGTCCGTGTCGCCGATTGCCAACATGGCGCTGGCAGGGACACAATTGCACTGCAAGTTTTAGTAGCGCACGTGTTTTTTATTAATATATTACATTTGTGTCGCCCACCCCAAGAATTGAAAGTGGTTTATAAATGTAATTGAAAACAATAGACTAAAAATAATTGCTGATTTTACTAATACAAAAAAAGTCGCTAATTTTGCAACCTAACGATCAATGAAATATATCTTAAATTTGGAAAAAAACATTCTTATTAATTTATTATTTCATTCTGTATTATAGGTCAGAAGATTGGCCAGAGGATTCCAAAAATGGGCCATCGAAGGATCAAGGTAGTTACGATGGACCTCCGGGAATGGACCCTGGGACACTTGACACCGACTGGGATCAAGTTGTCGAAACCTTCGATGACATGAACCTCAAAGAAGAATTGTTGAGAGGCATATACGCCTATGGTTTTGAAAAACCTTCTGCAATCCAGCAACGCGCAATAATGCCTTGCATCCAAGGACGCGATGTTATCGCTCAAGCCCAGTCAGGAACTGGAAAAACTGCTACTTTCTCTATATCGATTCTACAACAAATCGATACAAGCATTCGTGAATGTCAAGCTTTGATCCTGGCTCCCACAAGAGAGCTGGCCCAACAAATTCAGAAGGTACGCTTGGACAATAAGTTTGTGTTGAGTGAATATCGTTTGTGTTATTGCCTTTTATTGACAGTGTGAAACATTTCGTAGGTGGTGATAGCTCTTGGTGATCACTTGAATGCTAAATGCCATGCTTGCATTGGTGGCACCAATGTCCGTGAAGATATTCGCCAACTGGAGAGTGGTGTTCATGTGGTGGTGGGCACTCCAGGTCGTGTATATGATATGATAACTCGTCGTGCGCTTCATGCCAACACCATCAAACTTTTTGTTCTTGATGAAGCTGATGAAATGTTGTCCAGAGGGTAAGCTATTGTTTTTTAAATGTATCGATAACCTCATATTAGGTTCTTAATTTAAATTTAATTTGTTAGTTTCAAGGACCAGATCCATGATGTCTTCAAGATGTTGTCAGCTGATGTTCAAGTCATATTACTCTCTGCTACCATGCCTGATGATGTATTGGAAGTATCTCGATGCTTTATGAGAGATCCTGTACGCATACTTGTACAGAAGGAAGAGGTAAGATCTTATGTATAAACTGCTTGAATATATTTCTTTGAAGAAATAAATAAAAAATTTAATTAATATAATGTTTTAAATATTTTCAGCTTACCCTGGAAGGTATTAAACAATTTTACATTGCAATTGAATTAGAAGAATGGAAGCTGGAAACTCTGTGTGACCTGTATGATACACTGTCTATTGCACAAGCTGTAATTTTCTGCAACACCCGTCGCAAGGTTTGTTATTTCAAATTATACTTGTATTTTAGAATATAATGATAAACAACAAACTAAGTTTGTTGCTGAGGTATATATACCATGGACTATACAGTAAGGAAATTATTTCTGAAACCAAAATATACATAATATTTTAACTAGGAAAATTATATGATTTACTGAGCAATGTTTAAATAATACAAATCGATACCTTAGTCCTAAAGATATCCTATTAAAAAAAAATGTATTTAAAAAAGTTTCTTTAAAGAACGGTTACATAATTGTTACTACATGCAACAATAATAATTCTTACATTGAACAACAGTGTGCCATAATTATATTATAGACTTGTTTTTGCAACTTAGGTAACAGCAAACAAGCTAATGACAAATCGTGCTTAACTTAATATCACTTTATTTCAGTTTTCTGTTTTGTGAAACAGGCATTAGTAACCAAAAAGGAAGTTAAAATTAATTGAAAAAAAATTCATGAGCACAATTTTGTTTTATAATCTATAAAAAGTATTGCCAATTTGAGATAAGCAGCTAATAAGTTATTTCAAAAATAATTTTATGTAACACATGTTTTTATTACATCAGTACAAAGCATGAAATAAATTGACAAGTCATTAAATTCGTCTTTTTATGCCTTAAATGAAAATTCTAAAATAATTTCAAATTATCAACTTACCAAGATTAAATCAGAATTCAATTTTGGAAACCTCTAAGAAAAATGTTTTGAAAAAGTTAAATGCCACTCCTTATAATTTATTATTGAATTAATAAAAAAAACTACTTTCTAATGTCATCTGTATAATTTGTTCATACATGATCATTGTTAAAATGACGACCAGTATGCATAAGAAATCATACATTTCTGCTTCTACTTTTAAACTAAAAAATATATTTGTTTTGTTTGGTCCTTCTCAGGTGGATTGGCTCACTGAATCTATGCATCTGCGTGACTTTACTGTATCTGCTATGCATGGAGACATGGATCAACGTGAGCGTGAAGTGATCATGAGGCAGTTTCGTACTGGCTCTTCTCGTGTCTTGATCACCACTGATTTATTGGCACGTGGTATTGATGTACAGCAAGTTTCCTGCGTCATCAACTATGATCTGCCATCCAACCGTGAAAATTATATTCACAGGTGATTAGAGATTTACTGTTTTATGTTGGTTATTATGGTCCACCTAATTGAGAATGCTTATTGTCATGCCTATGCATGTCAATATTGCCAGGAATCTGAGATGATACCTTCTTCTTGTCAAATAAACAAAAATGAATGCCTATGTCCATTGGTGCTGACATTTTTATTTGTCTTATTGATTTGGAACTTTGATTTTTGCGGCAGTACCATTACTGTACAAAAGTTGGCGTGTCATTAGTTCAAACGAAATTTTATAAAATTCAGGGATTGTGCTACAGTTAATTAGCAGGGACATGATCAATTTTAATATAATACGTTATCAGAGTACCTTTTTTGCTGAAATAAATATACAATAATGTTAAATCTCAGGAAGTAATTAATGATGAACTGTACTAACTGAACTAACTCTGTTCTATTTCTTCAGGATTGGACGAGGTGGACGTTTTGGTCGTAAGGGAATTGCTATCAACTTTGTGACTGAAGCTGACAGGAGAGCACTGAAGGATATTGAGGACTTCTACCACACTAGTATCGTTGAAATGCCCAGTGATGTGGCCAACCTCATCTAAGGCGCCTACATTTTTCCGATTTATATTCTGTGTCCTGCGTTCTATTGCGATATTTATAAGGTGTGTGTATTAGGACAAGACTCCTAACTACCTAACACTGCCGAATTTTTATTGGAACTTATTTCATTTGGACCGATATATTCGTTTTAGTTTTAATTAATGAATACACTATACTATAGACGTATCAATATAAGTTTAATATACATAGGTAGGAATAAGCCCGGCTTTGCCGGATGGCCCCCTTTCCACATAGGCCTTTTTGCCACTTGCACAGAGGTCTAATTGGGTTCTGGAGAGGCTATTTCAATCACAAAAGTACTAGGAGGAAATAACATTGTAACTTTTCCAACTGTACATAATATGGTATCTGTTTTTGTAATATGCTAATAAATAAAATTAAATGCCTATCCAAATGTATTGTTATTGACACGTGGAAATTGTAATACTCTGTCCCTAATTGGGATTCTATTGTCTAAACTGTATTGAATTGTATAAATTTTGTTTTGCAGAAGATCTACCCACTGAGCCTGTGAAACGCACTTTGGATACTTCTATGTGGAAATAATAAATCGAAATTTCCTCTAATGATCACTGATTTTTTCAGCAGGTCCTTTTTGAATCCTGTACCCCTAACAATTTTTTACATTTAATTTTTGCATTTAACTTTAAATGTTGATTTTAAAATAATTTTATATTTCAAATGATTTATATTTTTCGAATAAATTTTGTTTAAAATGTTAATTATTTTTGACAGAGATAAATAATATTGGTTACATATTGTGGTTCCAACAAATAATTATACATTAAATTTTCTCAGATCTGAAAAAATGCAATAATCAAGTAATTAAAATTGTATTTAGGGAATTTCATATTTATTAACAAGTCATTATAGAGCAACAATCATATATTCTTAAAACATGGTCACAAATAACTGATGGGGAAATATTAGAAGTAACAAAGTCTTCTAAAAAAAAATTATTATAATATTTAGCTTTCACTTTTAGAAGAAATACAATGTTCAAAAATTATGTGAATATTAATACTATCAATAAATTAATATCACCTCTTGAAATATTCATTGTAACTATTGCCACATGAAGCATAGCTTTAATTATGTATCATAAAAATGCAAAAAGTAGTATCAGAAGAAGAACAGCAATGGGGAAAAATATGTAAACGGATTTTCTGGGAAGACAAACGGAAATTAGAACAGACGTATCGTCCTCATCGTTCCGCAATCCGCCTTTTGTTGGCACTTCTACAATAACAAGTTCGTCACTAAAAAACCCTATATCAAATTCACATCTTGTTTTATTGATGCACATTTTGGAACTAGAGTTATTGACATATTGGAATGTAGGCTTATAAATGTCAAAAATTGCATGAATGTCGTTAAATACAATATCGTTATCACTATAAAACATGTAATAGTAATATCCATCCACTAACACTTCATGAATAACTTTTAAAATTGTAGTCTCTTCCAAATAGTTTGTACTATTACACTGAATTGAAAAGGGAAAATATTCATTCATCAATATATTATCTTGGTAGCAATCGTATAAATTTATCTCAAAACTGGATACAGCACTATTGTCTGGCTTGACAGTACTGTTAAACGCATTCCCGCCGTGATGTACTCCTGTATCAAGAATAGTATTAGGATTATGCAATTTGGTGCGTGTATCTCTTTTTTGCTGCTTTTTATTTGTGCCTGATGTAAATTGTGATTTCAAGTAAATATTTTCAAATTTAGGTTTTGTTTGTATGTCTTCGTCCAACGGATCCTTGGCCTTTTCACGGTGAGTACTTCTGGCATAAATTTCGCTCTCCTTTTTGTTATTAGGATTTTGTAATGTTACCAGTACAGTTCCTTGATTTTCGGCTAATGAAGGTTCTTTCTTAAATTTTCGTCTGTCTAAAATACCACATGTATTCAGTATTCTGTCACCTTTTACAACTAAGATTTTTGAGCCATCATATCTTGAACAGGCCTTGAGTTCTACTGTGGCGCCTTTTAACAGATAAAAACCCCAGTATTCCAAAGTGTCATCTGGCAGAGTCATTGATTTTTTCAGTCGAATGTGCTTTCTTTTCTCTGAAAGTTCCGGTATGCCACTCATTTGAAAAGCATTAAAAGAAGTATTCATTTGTAGTGTGTGTTTCTCACAGAAAACTGAAGATTGTCCTTTGTGTATTTGTATTACATCAGAATCTGATATGCGATACATAACATCAGCATATTTAATATTTCTTAAATATAAAGGGATCACTATCAGCGTTGTAGGTAGCAGCGTAGTCAATAAGCAAAAAATCACTACCCTACGACTACCACGCATTTTATCTCGATCTGTAAAAAATAAAAAAGTAATTAGAAGGAACTATTTCTAAATCTTGCTAAATCTAAATCTCTGAACAGATGCTCTTAAATCAAGTGGGTACGGGATAATTTGGTTAATTGTAGACTTACACTATCACTAATCACGCTGAAAATGTGCTTATTTTACACTAACTACCAAGTTATCACTGTTTAAACATGCTAATAAACTGCTATATGACTTAGAGATACGGAAAAGATTGATTGTGTGCAAGATTCCCTCTTTAGGTGAAACTGCGGAAAACTAAATGACAAATTTTTCTGTCTCATTCGCTCGGCCATCGCGGTACGCATGCTCCTGATCGATATTCTGTAAACTGCTAGGTACTAACCACCGCCTCGGCTAGCCTGGTGCTAAATTAAATTAAAATTATTTTTGGGATTAATCCCGCGTTTTTTATTGTCATGCCATTTCCGATGATTTGAATACTTTACATGGACGGCGAAGTCGTGACCACGAAAAGCACCAAAAGCCACTAAGTGGCATATATGTATATGTACATTTTTTTCTACCCAAATAAGATCGATGAAGCTGACGTTTAGATACCTCGTACCATCCATCATATGAGTTTGATTTTAGTGAACAATTTAAGGTACTTATTTCCCAGATTGAATAACTAGCCTTGATCACGAAACAATGATGAGGGTTGTTGGCATTCGACTGTATTTCCCAAATTATTTATTTTTCTTCAAACGAGGCTTGTGGAGAATACCTACCTAACGGTAGGCAGGGGCTTCTCTCTGCCCCTGACATTGCTGAAGTCTATGGGTGACGGTAACCACTCACTATCAGGTGGGCCGTGTGCTCGTCTGCCTAAAAGGGCAATAAAGAAAATATATTGTAAACATTTTAAGTAAAATTTTAGTAAAATCCTTTTTAACATGACAAAGACAAATTCAGCGTGCAACGATGGATACTAGCGCCTGATATGATGCTAAAGCAAATTGGCCGGATCAATTTGCTTTAGCATCATTTCAGACGCAGTTTTATTTTAATAGACTGGATTTTGAGCAGTACCTACTTTAGATACTAACAGTTGACATAATGTAAAAAATGGAGCAAAGCACTAGAAAATAGCTACAGCTATAATCATATCGAAAGCCGTAAATTCGTTTCTGTTCAAAATGAACTCTTGATCAATTTAATTAAAAAGAAATTAAATTTGAACTAATATAGTAAATAATAATTAAGAAATTCAGTAAACAAATGCAAAAAGAACGATAGTCAAGCGTACCTATCTTTAAAATGAAATATGAACTGAACTGAAATATGAATGGAACTTTAGAATGGTATCAGCACTAAAATATAAAATGGTTTCAAACTTACCTTCATCTTTGTTGACGTATGTATATTGATAATTTGTACTGTAGTATGATGTACTGATAGATCTTTCCGGTTTCATATGCATTTTTTAGAAAAATCTTTTTGTTTTGGACTTTTTAAAACTTTCTTTGTGACATCAAATAGCGATCCTACATAAATAAAGTATCAACTTCCTACGTACTTAATGGAAAAAGATAAGCTTATCATCTCAGTGTTATCGCTGTTATGGAGAAACGTAAATGTAACGTTCTATTGAGAGGATACATTAATATATACTTAATTGATTATTAACAAACAAAACTTTATGGCAATTTAATAAAGATTTTTTTTTTTTCTGTACGACATAAATGCAGATCCAGTTTTTAGATTAAACATATTATTTTATAGTTACAGCAACGGTCACACGCTGAACTTATATAAAATATGATGCTGGGTGACAGTTGCGTATTGATGTGTTGGCTTTATGAGGAGTTTTGTAACTTTAAATGTACCGTACTAAGTTCTTAATGAAAACTCAGTGGCAGGGTAATGGCAACCCAGTGTGCGCTATCTTCGATGTTCTTTCGTTACGCTACCTACGTTGCGTACCTACTTTTTAAAGATTATTTATCAGCCAAATATATTGCTCAGACTTAGATCTTGAAAAATAAAGTGTTATTAATATTCAGCTCTTGTTTTATGCCGTAATTGTAATAACTAATAAAAATATATTTCAGGAGTCTATTTTCAGAAGTTTTGGCAGATTTTCGGGGTATCAAGTTGTTAAAGTGGATTATTTTGTTAATTTACATGTATATTAATAATGTATTAATGACTATTTAGCATCTATAAAAGCATACTAATGTATACATGAATTTTTCAAAAATCCCATTGAATTTTCAATAACTTTTTATGATTGTACTAAGATTATTATTTCATTTCATAGTGTTCAACGCCTATGGTGAGGTACTTATGTCGATCTTATTTAAATTGAGTTTCATTTTTTTTCATTTACCTAATTTCAACGAATAAGTTTAATGGTACAAAATTTTTGGCTGTATGGGGTAAGCATCCTTTGTCTGGCCAAGAGATTAATGAAACAAGAAGTACGTATTTCTAAATAGATAGGTAATAGGTACCTACCGTACCTACTTCTTAAGAAAATGGGTAGCTAGATTGATCTTTGCGATAGCTGTCAGTAAAATCACGCCTATGAAGTCCCAAATTTTACAAAGACCTTTATAATATTTTTATAATAGTACAGACAGAAATGAGATGAGATGATATGGGATGAAATATAATCTCAGTAAAATGGTGGTCATTTACTGAGATTTTTTCAGTGGACTTTTTGGAGGATCCCGAGAAGTTACGTCCAGCGGCTTTGTTTCATTTTCCCACATTTGTGCACTTTCACAGATACTAAACAGTTAGTAAACCACCGTTATTACACATTTAAACCTGTAGAAACACTAAATAGACAAATTAAAATAAATTAAACAAATCACACAACTTCACTTCTCGCGTTCCCGTCAAAAAGTCTTAATAGGCTTATTACACTTGGCTGAATTCAGTCAAATGTAAAAGCATTAAGTAAGTTAGTCTACTGAATTCAGTAGCAAGGATGGTTTCTGACTGGCTGAATCATTTAGAAGCCTAATTAGAAACGCATTTAGGAAGGTGTAATCGCATTTAGTTACTTAATGATTTCAGTCGTCCTATAGCTCTCCATGCGTAAGGACGTTTTAGTTTGTTTTTTACTTCCGAATAAAAAGTATTAATTTTGGTCGCCTTTATTTAATGTGCCAGACATTTATAAATAGCCCGACATGTTTCAGGGATAGTTTTTGTCATCAGGGGTTGGGATATTGAAGAACAAAATTTTAAATCTCGATACGAATTTCCTGTTACAAGAAATCTTTTTAGAAGTCGTCGTGGCCTGACGGATAAGACGTCCGGTGCATGCGTGTTGAGCGATGCACCGGTGTTCGAATCCCGCAGGCGGGTACCAATTTTTCTAATGAAATACGTACTCAACAAATGTTCACGATTGATTCCCACGGTGAATCATATAACATCATATAACATCGTGTAATAAAAATGAAACCCGCAAAATTATAATTTGCGTAATTACTGGTGGTAGGACCTCTTGTGAGTCCAAACGGTTAGGTACCACCACCCTGCCTATTTTCTGCCGTGAAGCAGTAATGCGTTTCGGTTTGAAGGGTGGGGCAGCCGTTGTAACTATAATTGAGACCTTAGAACTTATATCTCAAGATGGGTGGCGCATTTATGTTGTAGATGTCTATGGGCTCCAGTAACCACTTAACACCAGGTGGGCTGTGAGCTCGTCTACTCATCTAAGCAATAAAAAAAAAATCTTAATGTTACAACGAATCTTTCTTTTGGACTTATACTATCGTAGCATTAGATATGTAATAGTTATTAAATAGATATATAATATAATATCGTAGGATAGTATCCTGCTTTTGAATAAACGGTGTCACAAGGTTTAATATTAGGTCAAACGAGATCGAATCTATTTATAGATAATTTTTGTAGTCTGCTGGTTCTAAATCACTCATAATGTTCATATTTGCTAACATTCCGCACAGCAATAAATATTTCTTCACCGATATTCTCGATTTTTTTTTTTTGAGAAATTGAAACAAAAAACAAAAACAAAATAAAACAATAACAAAAAAAAAAAAAAATTTGTTGTTGTCTAGACAATACTGGGGCCATCCTCTTACGCACACGACACGCCTTACTTCGTCGCGTTTGATTGAAACTGACAATTGATTCAGTAACTGAATTTAGTGTAATCAAAAGCTTCCAAATTTGCTTCTGAATTCAGTCGACTAAATTCAGCCAAATGTAATAAGCCTTTTAGGAATAAATGTACGGTACTCTAACATGTTGTACCTACCTAACGAATAGGTAACGAATCAAATATAATAAGTGTATAATCTATGGTACCTAACGAATTTAGAAATAACAGGACTTTTTTTGGCGGGAACGCGAGGAGTGAAGTTGTGTGATTTGTTTTATTTTGTCTATTTAGTGTTTCTTCGAGTTTAGGTGTGTAATAATGGTGGTTTATTAACTGTTTAATATCTGTGAAAGTGCACAAATGTGGGAAAATGAAACAAAGCCGCTGGACGTAACTTCTCGGGATCCTCCAAAAAGTCCACTGAAAAAATCTTAGTAAATGACCACCACTTTACTGAGATTATATTTCATCCCATATCATCTCAATTCATTTCATTTAATTTCATCCCAGTTGATTAGTGTCTCAAATTAATCATCTTCATTTCATTTTACTCCATAATATAATTTTTCATGCAAATATGAATATAAATTAAAATAAGACATGACTTAAAGGTCTCAGTTACCAGGTCATAAAATCTCTTAAGAAAAATAATAGAAATAACATTATGACCTAAAAGTCTCTGTCAAAGGCTGTATGGGCTTAGATCCCCTTGCCTTTCCTAATAAGGAAAAATTGTACCAAAAAAAGGCTGTCACCAGGTCATAAAAATTATTAAAAATAAAAAATAAAATAACATTGAGCGTCGGAATATTTTTTTTGGATTATCATAATTAAACTTAATTAATAAGTGTAATATCTATTACATTACAATCAACAATGTAAAATTGTTTAGTATATTGTAATGGCAATCAAATTTGGACAACTGTTTAAAAAAAATTAAAATGTTACGGAATTTAAAACCAGAAGTAGTCTGGATTGAAGGAAGATGTTATAGAGCTAATGATTCACCAGCTGAATTTAATTCAATGCAAGAACATGATCTGTATGAAAATGGTAAAAATATTTTAAATTGAAATAAGATTACGTTAAATTAAAAATTAAAGAAAAAATTATGGATACTAAATACCGAGTGAGAGCGAATAGCGATGACAACTATTTTTTAATAGCAATCAAGTCAAGACAGAAGAGGAATACAAGTACTAATCACAATAAAAAACAATACTTTCCACTTTAGCTTACATATTCTTTTAGAATTCATCAAGCAAGTGTATTTTGATATAAAAAGTTAATTTTATGAATAGAAGAACTAATAAGAACATTATACTATAGAATTAAGGGACTGAAGTTAGAATAGAGGGAGAAAATAATTTACTTGCTTATACAGTACAGGGAATTTGGCTACAAATTAAAATTACATTACTTAAATTTTATTTTAGTCCATGGTGTGTCAGAAGTATTTTAGAATTCATTCATGCAATTTTTTATTGTCAATTGTGGGGATCTACTTTACAGCAGAGCAAGTTAATAACATAAAAATATGTTCCCTTTGAGCCTGACTAATCAAAGAAATGATAAATCAATTAATGGGTGTTTGTCTGTAAACTGGGCAAGAATTAGAAGTGAATTTTAAGAATTAGCATATAACAGTAATCACCTATATAATAACTTAATCTATTTTGTACACACTTCATGAACTATTCTTATATTGATTTATTAAATTGATATTCTCTTTATAGTCCTTAAAAAGCAGCCCCATGATGTGTTCCCAAAACATTATTGTCACCTCAAATTTAATTAACTAAGACATAACTATTTGAGTCTATGAAATTGTTTTTCTATTCAAATATAAATTGTATTTTTCATTTAGTTTGCATTTCTCTGATGTAGGCCCCTGTATAGATGTTTCAGAAAATGTTCAATATTTTTTTAAAGTTCTGGAAATGTTTGGTTCACCTGTCATATATTAATAAATATATTGATATTTATTCCTCAGGTACAATTTAATAAATATTTAAGCAAAAAAATTTGCCTAAGCAGCTTTCTTAAAATTACTTGCGTAGTTTACAGAGCAATAACCCAATATATAATAGTTATTATATATATTAGATGATGTATTAAGTAATTAGAGGATACAAGACAATGCAGTGTTCAATGGCTTTTACTATGTAAGAAACAAAGTTATAGTCAAAATAAAAATCAAAGAACTAACAGGTGCTTGAAATGTTTGTATAGTCCATATAAAAATTAAACTGTTGAAAGAAAAACAAAAATAACTGTGGAAAAGTTATAACAGTAACTATACTTAAAAAATGCAGTGAAAACCTTGAAGATTTGAAACCATCTGTACCTAAGTTTAGAGATATTTACAAAAAATTTGAAACAAAAATTAGATCAATCTCAAAGAACAATAAACGCCATGTTAAAGAAACTATAATGTTAAGAAATTAACAATATTTACTGCCAACTCAAATAAAAATAATGTAGTGGTTTACTACAATATGTAGTACTGAGATTATGTCCGTAGGAAAATTAACATGTGATCAGAAAAGTATCTTTATAACTGCTTATATAATTTCGAGGACATGATATCATCACCTAGTCATCACTTGGTGCTAACTCAATACCAAAGCCAATAGACAGCAAAGTATCAAGTTTATAATATCAAAGTTATAATGATTCAGATATAATAGAGTTGTAAGCATTTTAATTTTATTCTAGAGGGTACATTATATTAGAATAAAGTTCTCAATGTCCACCATAATCCCACATCAAATCTCGCTTTGCAGGAAAGGTGCCTATTTTATCTCAGTCTCAGTTACAAACTTGCTACCCTTATGGCTTCATTGATCATCATCCCAGGATGCTTCATATAATGACATCACACAATATACTTTTAATGTACAAGTTGTTCTTCTTCAAATTCATGTAGTTAAAGAATATTTAATTAAATACATTAAATTTAAAAAGTGAAACTTCCCATATTTTATTTTAGAAATAACATTTGAAGAACCAGATGATGAAGAGGATGACTTCAAAGTTGAAATGCTGGATAATTCTAGATATTGTACCAGTTTTCATGTTTCTAAGTAAGTTTTTTTTTTAAATAATAAAAGCCAATTTTTTAGTGCAATTTCACTGGAATAGTGGTCATAACTTCATAAAAGAGGATTGTAGTATCACCTTAGAATATAGAACACCTATGGCACATACTACATGTAATAGTTGTATTTTCCCTGCCTTTAGGCTCTTGAGGATTTCTTTTGTCTTTCTCCTATCATGGATTCTTCATCTGGAAACATTGCTTATATGTCTTTCTTAACAGTGCTATGAGATAGGATCCTATAGACATCTTAGTCAGCACAGTTGCTGTACCTGGGAATTTAGAATTGTTTTATGAATGTTTTCCAAAATCTGATGGACAATTACTGGCGTGTCTTTCGAGCTCTGGAGTCATTTTATTAATGTGGATGGACAAATAAAAGCATGTACACTGCTGTTAACAATGAGTACCTATTATTATTATTTTTAGACATTACCTCGGCTCCATAATAGGGAAGAAAGGTGCTATTATAAGCGGAATTAAAAGAGACACAAAAACGGACATAAAAATTCCAAAACACGATCAGACTGGGGACGTTGTCATTTTAGGACCAGCAGAGTCTGTAAGTATTACACAATATGTATCAATAAAGAATCTTCATCAGGAATGATTTTAAAATCATGTAATTTGTAATGAAGTAAATTCACAACACAGAGAACAATTGGATGCTATTTATATATAAATATTAATTACAATAACGTAAAAAATTGCTGATATAAATAAATTTTCGATTTAAATCAAAATCAATGTTAAGAAAAGCGGGTAGCTTTGTAAAGAAAATATTTTAATATTAATTTCAGAATGTGAAGGCTGCTAGGCGCAGAATAAACATGATTATAATGTCTTCTAGGATGAAACAAACATCTACGCATTTTTTATCAATACCAATGAATAATGCAGATATTGTAAAGGAGTTTGAAAAATTCAAGGTGTGAATGAGATTTTGCATTTTTGTGTAGTTATTTTGGACGCATTCTTATTGCTTATACTTGCAGTGGCCATTGTCGGTGAACCATTTCAGTTCTTATTTATTTGTAAGTTTATGCAATTTCTGCCCATGGGGAGCAAAAAGAAGATAGTAGATAAATAAATAAAAAGTTATTTTGATTATCAAATGCAGCAATCAAGTTAATAATTTAAATACTCCTTTAAATAGTAATGATCATAATTAATACATTATTATATTACTTATCATTATAAATTTAGACATTATTATAGTAGAAATAGGTAGGATGATGGTACATCAAATCGCCCTACCACAAGTCTGTTGCAGTCGGCAAGTTAGGTACTTGACTGATGAGGTTAGAATTTTATTAATAATGTACACATTATTAATAAAATGAAGTATTTTGAATGAAATTATTTAATAAAATTATTTTAATTTGTAGGAAAGGGTATTACAAGAATGTCCAAATCCAACACTAGAAGAGTCCTTGTTCATCAGGTCTCATAAACTACATTTGACGTTGGGCGTTATGAGTTTGATGGACAATGATGAAAGAATACAAGTAACAAATCTTTTGACCGAAGCGAGGGATACAATTGTCATGTACGTTTAATTATATACAGGGTGTGGTATCGTGGCCGAAAACTAACGCACTGATGATGAATTTCAACGAATAAAATAAATAATAGTTTAAAAAAACTAAAAAAATACGTTTTTATAGAAAATTCAACTAAAAAATAGAATATAAATTTTAATAAATTTGAATTAAAAATAGTGTAAGAAAAAATGATTTTATTGTAAAAAAGCGTGGGTGCTTTTCAGGATATTATCAAAATAACCCTTCTACTCATACAAAAATTTACTTAAAACTAATATTTCTTTTTAATTTTTTAGTTGAATTTAATATTTTTCATTTTTTTTTTTAATATTGAATTGTCATCGGTCCTTAATAAGTATGCCAAATTTCGAGTTAATCCTACGTTTTGAAAGGGGTCAAAATCATGTTCAAAGATTCCGTTACAAACATGTTAGCATACACACGTCTGAAGCGTATTAACAAAATAATTATGAGAGTTCGAGTTGAATCCAAAAATCTCGTTTCTTTTCGACGCCATTTGCAATGCGACTAGGGACAGTGTATTGCAGTTTTGAAGGTGAATGTTAAGAAAATAGGTCCCATTCTAGATTCAATAATGGTCTGTTGTTAATGTTAGTTGTTGTGCTTATCGAGACTGCATCTCTATTCCGTTTCTGGCTGGTGCCATTTCTGTCTCAACGGCAAGTTTCTATAGCACATAATGTACGGTGTCACGTGAGTTCACCGTTCAATGCCACATAGTGAATAAAGTGGCGAAAACAAACGAAGTCGCGTTCCGTTTTACATTAGAACAATAGTTATTCTGAACTTACTACTGGTGGTAGGACCTCTTGTGAGTCCGCACGGGTAGGTACCACCACCCTGCCTATTTCTGCCGTGAAGCAGTAATGCGTTTCGGTTTGAAGGGTGGGACAGCCGTTGTAACTGTACTGAGACTTTAGATCTTATATCTCAAGGTGGGTGGCGCGTTTACGTTGTAGATGTCTATGGGCTTCAGTTACCACTTAACACCAGGTGGGCTCTGAGCTCGTCCACCCATCTAAGCAATAAAAAAAACGGAAAGTTTGTTCGTAAAAGATGTTTGGTTCAAAATGACTTTTTTTTTCACGGTATCACATGAATCTATATGTGATTTTGGCATGCGTCTACAAATATTATTATATAATATTTTTCTCTTATGCATACACAATGTTACGCATAGATCAATATGTGTGTAATAACACAACGAACAAGTCGGTCAAGATTACTTGTTCTGAATAGATAAATCTGTTTGTATAGCAATGATAATGTTTAGCTGCAAATTTTCAGTCCGTTGTTACAAGGTCACGTACCGTTGAAGATCAGATTGAAGGGTCTCTCGTACATGAACGATGATCCAAAGGCGATTAATGTTTTGTATGGACGTGTTCAAGAAGAAGATTGGGCGGCCGCCGGCCTCATACAGAAGCTGGGTGATGCTCTTGTAGATCATTTCTATAAAGCTGGTATGTGATATCAAATTATTTTGGGTGAAAGGGCGTGAGATTTCGATCTCATATCTCAAGATGGTGAATTCACGTTGTTATCAGTTAGCTTCCTACGTGACCATCTAATTCTAGAGTGATAAAAAATAGCCTCTCAAGGCTATCAGCATAAGTAGGAAAAAAAACGGTCTACCCACTGGAACTTATGATTACTTTACGACAGAAATAAACTGAATGGTATTAAGCGACATTTAATTTGAGTGTGCTTATTTTCACTTGTGTTTGTTCAATCGATTACAGAAATCTACATAAAAATCAATGACACTTCTAGATTTAGTTTCATAGTATGGAATCACTCATTATATTCCCTCTTTTGTTTTGTTATTGATATTGTCTCTTATAAAAGTTTATGAAAGGAAAGTATCTCTAAAAAATATTAATTTATAACTAAAGATCGTTACTGGATTATTTTGTCTTTGCCTGTTCATATTTATTATATTATAGATTAATAGAATAATCATTAAAAACTCGCACACCACTATATATATATATATATTTATATATATATAATAATTTGTAATTTACTTGAAATTTTAGGGTTCATGAAAAAGGAATTCGGAAGAGAAAATATAAAATTGCACGTAACTTTTATAAACACAAAGTATAGAGAAACGACGGACGTGGATGCACCTCAACAAAATCAAACCATAAACAATCGAAAAACGTTCGATGGATCCGAGATACTCGAGAAGTTCGCAGATTATGATTTCGGAGTTATGGAAGTGACAGAGATACATCTTTCGCAACGACACACGATGGGGCCAGACGGATATTATCAGCCGACCTGTATAATATCTTGTAAAATATAAATTTGAGACGACATAGATCTTTTATTTATTCCTTACGAGTATTAATATAAAGACCGACACGGTAATCTTAGAATCACGCTAAAGAAAATGATATCATATTTATCTAATGTTTTCGTAAATTATTATTTGAATAACAATCGAAAGGTTTTGTTGTCGACGCTGTATTTTATTTTATATGTTGCACGGGACTTTTGATAAAACCTATTCATAATGAGTAAACTTCATTTAGAAATTCATTGACAAATAGCAATAATTGAATATCAGGAAAATCACGTACACTAGAAGCAATAAATTCCGGAGCAGTGGAAAATAAAAACCCCTTCTACGCACGACCACGATCGCAGGGATGTATTCCGTTCATTGTCGTATATATCGGGTGAAAGACGGTGGTTTAAGCGACATTTTTGTAATTTTACAGGAGACAATAAAGTAAGACACTTAATGTTTAAAATTTCGAAAAAAAATCATAACCGAAAACATTAGCTATTTGAATCATCTTAGGCCTTACAGCCCAGGATGGGCCTAAGCCTGCTCCAGTATGTCTCTCTAGACTGCTCTGTTCAAGGCTTTCTCCTTCCAGTTCCAGCTATTTGAATGGAGTAAACGTAACTAGAGTTCAATTAAAAACATCGAATTGTTGATAGGTACTACGAGTAATACCAAATAAAACAGACCTTTAATTAAAAAGATACATGTCGCGTGTTAAGCGAAATGTCGTTTAAACCAAATAGTCATTCAACCGGCGATACAATTATCTACCTACACGTGTTGTCATTCAACTCTAAACGATATCATAGGATCGAGTTGATCAAAATTTTTTTGGTTTGGGTGGGTCACTGAATGATTGAATATCATCCGTGAATCGTGCAAATTCTTAGAATACATAAATTCGTCCTACCACGAAACTACTTGTATTAATGAAATTTGTAACCCACACAGCCACAATACGATCAGATCCTAAGTCAGCGCTATCATGTTGTTTCTAGTTCCAGCCATCCCTATTATATGTATAAATTACTTCGAAAAAGCGGCGCGCCACGATAATCCTCTTATCGTGGCGCGCCGCTAATTACGTATCCGAGCTAGGCGACGGAGCAACGTAAAGCCGCACTCGCCCTAAACGATTCTTGTTGGGGGATCTACTCTCGATGCTTTTAGGCTCCACAAGCACCGGTTACTATTCCTGTCGAACTCATTGATTATGACGAGGAGTTAGACGTGCGAACTAGCCCAAAGGCACAACTCGCTGAGCTTCTTGCCGGACCTACTCAGTGGGTCGCGATTATCCAGTAATAAATTTTGTGGAGCACTGCTCTTGCTAGAGCTAATGTTAGCAAACTCTCAGGTTGAGCCCAGTAAGGTCTAATATCCAGTAATTATCAGCCACAGCGTAGTTGTTGGAAGCCTAATAGACAAGGAATAAAAAGGAATATTAAAAAATAATATTCTGTAAATTTACTAAGCCTTCAGTTTTTCGCCATTCGTTTCACTGCATTTAAAATCGGTGATAAAGTAATAACGATTTCGAAGACTTGAACAAAACTTCAAAACACTCGGGTCACACTGTAGAATTTTATTATCTTGAATGTAGGCGGTCATTCAGGGTCTTGTGGCATTAAACGCTTTCCGGAGCTCATAGACAATATAATATGAATCCAGTCATAGTTTCTATAGAAACCAGGAATAAGAACTAAATAAATAACGACGGCAGAACAAGCTAAAATATGAGAAAAAAATATTCTAAATGGTAGATTGAAATGAAATATTCTCGCACAATACCTGTCTGCAACTCGGATCAGAATACTAGGTGACCTAGATTCGAGGGAATCGTAGGCGGAGTTGCATCCTCAGGCAGCAATGACGTCAGTTTCGATTGTATAACGTTGCTGTATGCATTTTCATGAGACAAAAGTTTCCCATATCGATATTTTCCATGAATGAAATTAGAACTAGACCAGATGAACTACATATCAATTGTTAGTTTGTGAAACTTTTTTAGTTCACAGTAAGAAAAATTGTAGATATTTTTTGACAGAAACAAGATTTAACAACAAATTTATTTTAATCAAAATTTGCGAAGATTTATTTGTTTTCCTTAAACGTATTTAATTTCCGTAAAAAGGGTTACGCGGTATATAATAAATAGCACGGGAAAGCCTGGGTCAAAATAATAAATAATTATTCTAATATAATCTTACGAGTTTATCCCCGAGGGACTAGGCTCAGTGTTAAGGAACTTTTAATTTGTTTCCAAGTTGATTTTACGGCGACTTGCTCAGATAAAATTTTAGTGTTTTAGGATAGTCAATATTTAGTAGGTATATCTAAAAGTTCTCATGACAAATATGTATTCTAAATAAATGGATTTCACAAATACTTCGATTGGAAATTTATACTGAATTTCATAATAAAAAAGGAATCTGATCGGTTATTCATTTCCAGATAACGAATAATAAATTGTGTTGTTGAGCGTATATATTCAAGCACGGAGGTTTCAATCACGACGGACCATCGAGGCGATCCGCCCGGTGCTCTTGGACTGGGTGAATCGCCACCGAGGACGTCTCACCTTCCGAGCAACGTAGATACTCACGGGAGAGCTCTTCTTCCCTCTCGGCGCCGTTCTGCCGCCGCCGAGCTGGGGGTCGAAGGAGGGCTCAATCAGCTCCGGCCCCTATAAAGAGGTAGTCTCCTGTCGACCTGAGGAGGTCGAGGCTGCGTCGCATGCTACCGTCACTCTAGCGCGCTAGCACCAGGAGGATGGGGTCACGCGTTGGTGGCTGCGGCCCGCGGTGCTGTACACGTATCCGTCGTCGCTGTCGTCACTGGGTGTACTGTGGAAGAGTAACCCGGTCGGCGGTGTATCGAGTTCCGACCCGGTAGGCTGGTTCTGGCCAAGTGGTGTATCCTGGAAAACCAGCAGCATCGCTAGAGCGGCTTGACGGGCCGCTGTATCATGGAGACCGGTATTGTTGGTTCCGTCGGTCAGGCGTCTTCGGGCGCCACGAGTTGTAATGTTGACCGCGAGAACCCCCCTACTCTGACCGAGTTCTGACCCCGGGCGGAGATCGGACGTCGGGCGAGAGAGTGCAAAGGAGAGTCGTTTGGTAGGTAGGGCCCTAAAATATCTCCAACAATTGTAGACCATCAAGTGCAACATACCCCGAGTGCCCCCTCGGCGCGGACACCTCGACTCGCCCACCAGCCCGCAAAAAAAGACGATGAAAAATGACTCATAGATGACTACCATCATCCCATTTATTTTTACCGAATTGTAATCTTGTGTTCGGGCGTAATCATTGAATGTAAAATGTTAAATTTTCTTTTTTCTTTTTGGAAGATACAGTTAATTATTTTAAATTTTTAAAGTTAATTATTTTAACGTTTAGAATGACATTTCACCTTTATTAACCATGCTTGATTAAATATCCAAGCTGGAATTATTTTCTTTTATGTACCATATTAGTTTTTTTTTATTGCTTAGATGGGTGGACGAGCTCACAGCCCACCTGCTGTTAAGTGGTTACTGGAGCCCATGAACATCTACAACGTAAATGCGCCACCCACCTTTAGATATAAGTTCAAAGGTCTCAATTATAGTTACAACGGCTGCCCCACCCTTCAAACCGAAACACATTACTGCTTCACGGCCGAAATAGGCAGGGTGGTGGTACCTACCCGTACGGACTCACAAGAGGTCCTTCCACCAGTAGTCCTTACAAGGAAAAAAATTTACTTGAGATCGGTCTACAATAGAACTTGAAGATTCCTTATAATTTACTCGATGGGAATGTAATATTAGAATCATTGTAATAGCCATTCGTAATAGGTACATGGTTTCCGTAGCCCTGCGTAGCGCCCTCACCGTTGTGGGTGGGGGCGCGCACTCTCTCAGTACTCAGTAGGGGAGCAATGTCTACGTAAAACGCCCGCCGTTTTCGCGCTCCTTTCATTGGGGTACGAACTCGAAGTGAAAATTCACGCGACGTTATTCGACCTACGGATTTTCTTGTAGCCGGTGAGTAATCGAAGCTGTTAAGTAGAATGAGGAATTAAAGCTTTGGAATTTTTGTGTGATAATTCGATTTTGATATTCAATTTACGACTACTGCAACTAGTTTATATTTAGAGTTCTGTATTCAGAAGCGTTAATTTTTACTAATGAAAGTGCTATCCGCTTAAGTTTTTTTTAAACGAAATGAACAAATTATTTATACATTTGTCTGCCTTGTGATATTTTTTTGTTTTTTTTCAAATGCATGTTTCTACTGGATATAATGTTAATTTGATTTTTTAAAGTCATTTTAACAAATAAAAATTGTGATTTTTAAAAACAGTTAAAGTTAATATGTTAAGCAATGAATGAACTATGAATTAACTCGATACGATTATTTTTTTTGTGAATTTCGGACATTTTAAGACTAGGGGGCATCGTGTCTTTAATACAAACTTTCGCATTGATTTAAATAACAAATGGTATTATGTATTTTCTTTTCTTTAATCGTGGCAGATAGTTTGATACATTCCAATCAATTTAAAAAGAAATGTCACAAAAATGACGGAAGGTTTACGTAAATATGAGATACTAGCTGTACCCGTCTGCTTCGCTGGGCATTTAAAACTAACATTATTATTTCTCACCCCCACAAAGATTCTCCTCATTAACGCGCCCGCAACTGGTGTAGGGAGTCCAACACACATAAAAAAATTTACCTATCCATTAAGTACATGTATTTTTTACATGGATACCAAGTTTCAAGTCAATCGGATGCATGGTTCAGTACTTATAACGGAACATCCGTAAAAACCACTGTAGATTTATATATTAGTATAGATGTAGGAAAACGTATCTTTACTTTCTGTATTTAAAATTTAACCGAATTCAATTAAAAACGGCGTTCGTCAAGTATAATGATGATTAAAGGATGAGTAACTGATTCATTTTCATTTAAAAATACTGGAAGTTTCAATAATTGTAAAGGAATTACTTAAACCTATATAAGCAAACTAGCTCATGATCCACCTGATTTT